TAGAATCAGTAGGTTGGAAGAGAAGACCGTCAAGATCACCAAGTTACTAATCCAGCCCTAACAACTCAAATTAACAATGGCACCAACGCCACATCCAATCTTTTATAAGTGCATCCAGGGATGGTGACTCCACCACCTCCTGGGCAGACAATTCTAGCACTTTATCACTCTTTCTGTAAAAACCTTTTTCATAATATCCAACCTATATTTCCCTTGGTGCAGCTTGAGACTGTGCCCTCTGGTTCTGTCAGTTGCTGCCTGGAGAAATAGACCAACCCCCACCTGGTTACAACCACCTTTCAGGGAGTTGTAGAGAGTGATTAGGTCACCTCTGAGTCTCCTTTTCTCCAGGATAAACATCCCCAGCTCCCTCAGTCACTCCTCATAGGGCTTGTGTTCTTCTAATAGCGGTCACATGTGCAGACTTCATTTTAGCCTTTAAGTAATGCTTAACACAAAATTATATTGTCCCAATCTACAGAAATCATATATAAGATGAAGGAAGTATTGTTATAAGGCTGTATAGTATACTTATATTTTTACTGTACTATATTGCTCACTATTGGTATACTTTTGTTACATGTTTGTTATAATTTTTGGTATATAACTACATATTTTATATATATATATGTATATATATATATATGTATGGAATTGTATATTAAATTAAGAATATGAAACAATAGGCCTTATACATAACCTCTTTTTTCTGTCTCAAGATGTAAAATTAGCTGTTTAGCCCTTATGTTTTTAAGATTTAAAAGACGGTGTCAGTTAATCTCACTCCAGACTCTAAGCCAGAATAGTTTGCTGCAAGTCATAACTTCTAGATATGGTACTTTCATGTGTATGATTTGATTGGAATTGTGTTTTGCTGTTAAATATTTATTAATTTAGTGAAAATTTTTCTGTCAATAAGATAGTTCTGGACATAAAAGGAATATGTTTCTCTTTTTTTGTTATATAAATTTTACAATTATAAGAAGTCTTTCTCTCTGATGTAAACAAACCCAGAGCAGTTTCAAGGAAAATATTGTTAAGAACTCCACATCATACTCTGTGAAGTCATTTGGGGAAAGAATTGAAGTGATTTCTGCTCCCTAAAAGGCTTCTGGTACTTCTATCTACTTCTGAAAAAGACTGTGTAGTCGTATGGATTTGATTAGCTCATCTCTTTTCTTTTGAGTCAGAGACAGGGGAAATAATGAATGACTAATCACTTCAGGTTACTGTTTTTTACACTGAGGCTATTACAAAGCCAATTAAAGAAGTCATACAGAAAGCTACAGATATGTGATTAGGTTATAATGCTAATGCAGGGAATTGTGTATAGATAATTATTCTGCAGTACAGATAATTCCAACAAAGACTAATCAGAAGATGTATCAAACACCTAACGATCACAATTTTGTCTGAATTCCTTAAATCTTCATTTTAAAAGCTGCAGATATATTGTGACTTTTAAAAAAGTATGCTGGGCTCTTTCCTTCCTTGCCTTGCACAACATTGCCATGCAGTTTTCACAGAAGCTTAGTTCCCACTACATTCCTACATTCATCACAGCTGGGGTGTAATTCAAAGCAGCTTTGGACCTTCTTTAAATTCCACCAGCTGGCAACAGTTTTCTAGGGACTAACCCAGGCAGCAGAGCACAGGCCAGAGCTCAGGCACTGAAGAGGATCGCACCTCTGCATCCAGGGCTGCTCACTGAGAGGCCAGCAGTAATAATGCACATGCAACAGCCTAGGTACAAAAGGAAAGATGACAGACTGTAAATCGAGTTAGTGCTGTACTACTCTTTTTGTCTGATTTCTAGCAATGGAGAGAGGGCTGGGACAAATTTGTTTATACTGTTATTATCAAATATGGCTCTGCGCTAACGCCATATTTTGAAATGAAGAAGACAAGTGCTTGTAATGTGTGCCTCCTCCTGACCTCCCGCACTGTATCTCCTTCTCACTTTTCTCTTCTGAGTCCTCTCCTCTGCGGATAGGTCCTGCACCTCCCTGCCAGCAACTCATATCTTATCCAAAAACATATGACTCAGTATGATGTCTCTTTCTCTTTTCCATTATTTATACTGTGTGCCCTACACAAAGTCGTGCTACTCAGTTCTGAAAACCTCAGTGCAATTCAATTCACATCAAATCAGCCAGTTTGTCAGCTTCTCCATCACCTAAAAGCTCTATATTCAGTGACTGACCTCCCTGAGCATATCTGCTACCTTCCTGCCTTCTGTCACATAAAAAACCCCAACACTGCTGCCATGGTGCTTTCAAGGAATTGACTGATTTGATATATAAATTGTCTGTTGTTTTCCTTTTCTTCAGTGTCTGCTGACTTTTTAGCTGTTTCTTCTTAACATGCTTGTTCCTCAGGGCAGAAACACTGCTCAGAAAGAATTTAGCATGCATGGTGAAGTATTTAAGTCATGACTACTACATTGTATGGCTGTGCAAAGCCAACATTTATAGTTCCTGTTTTATTTCAAAATGTGTTTTTAGACCAGTCCTTGAGAAGTTTCAAATAACAACATTTTCCCAACAAACAATGCTTTGTGAAAAATCTTTCAAATAAAACATTTTAAGAACTGCTTGTTAGGATCTATTAATCAGCAGACATGTCCTATATAAAGACAATTTGAAAAGTTTAGCACCAGCCAAGCCCCTGGGAGCTCTACAAGGCAGCCACATCCTGCTTCTTCAAGTGTCCTACTGGAAATCCTTTTCTGGCTAAGCATGAGCTGTAGTGTGAATGGCTTCTGAGGGTGACATGAGTTGTAGCATGAAGTACAGTAACAACTTAATAAACGCATAGAAAATCACAGTATTCTATCCTTCTGAGGTCATCTAAAAAGATAAATACAATTAAGCTTTGATTTGACCTGTTTCATGGACTTTATCTTTCAGTAATTTTTAAAATCTTAATTAGTATTTAGCATTTATGCAAGGGTAGGTGTGATTTAAGAGGCTGTGTGATATATGAGTGCAACAGAGTCCTCAGCTGAAGGACAAGTATTTTAGTGAATGCGAGACCTGACCCAAAGGCTATTTGCAGCAGTTTGTCATTTAGTACAGGGAAGGTTAGGTGGGTTACAGTGATATATGATCTCTCATGCTCTGGACCTAACAGCACAGTTGAACTGCTCTTGTGACTTTCATTAACTCTGTGCAGCTCTTTTCATATACAGAGTAAACTGAAGATGTGACAACCCTTCTCCTTGTGAGTGAAAGAAAAAGGAAAACTTCTGATAAGTTTGGTCAGTCCATTAAAATTCTGTACTCGGTCCATGTAAGCCTGAATGTAAGCAAATTTCTGCTGAGTTTATTTTGCAGTCATTCATACACCAAGAGGGAGAGAGGGGAAATCTTGGCGAGTGCTCCACGTGGAGCACTGCCAACACGCTGCATTAAACAGTCACCCAGTGCAGGAGCAGCCCAGGGAATGCCAGGGAAAAACAGCACCTGCAAGTGTTATGCAAAAGGCATGGGGCTATGGAAGGGGTGGAGAAAGGATTTAAATGGACAAAATACGATGAAAAACTGCTAGCAGCCACAGGCATGCAAGACATATGGACAAGGTATTCTGCTTAAGGGGACAAGTTAGTGGAACAATTCTTCTCTTCCTTTCATGTATACATAAGAAGTAGAGCTGTTAAAATTTCAAGGAGTGAGAAATGGACATTTTTTCTAAACAAACAGTATTTTGAAAAATGCTGCTTTGTTTAGCATTGTTTCACATTGTTGCCGTTTTCCCCCTCAACATTTTCCATCGGAAGACTGACCAAAAAACATAGAAAGAAAAGCTGAAAGACAATTATTTTTCTCTAGCCAGCTGGACAGGTACCAGCAAAACCAAATAAACAATCATATCAAGAGGCAGTTCGTAATGTAGTTTGTAATCACATTTTCATCAATAATACTCCTGGTTTATATTGAAAATCTTTTCAGTTGAAAAATTTCCAGCAAATTCTAAATATAATGTTGAGTGCCAGATTTTCCCTGTAGGCTGGTGAAATTGTTCTGTGGAACTCAAGTTGCCTTGCATAAAACTAAGCTGGATGTCTGTTGTGTGTTACTATATCATCTTGGGGGTTAATATATGAAATTCCTCATTAGTGGCAGACCTTTTAAAAATTCTTCTGGTGTATGGCAACAAGAGAAATAAATGTTCAGGTATGAATATGAGCAAAAAAGGAAGCAAATGCATAGTAATCTTTTATGACTATTTTATAATTCCTCCTAACCCCCAGCTCCCCACGTAACAGCTGAAGAGGGAGCCCAGTTTTCAGGAAAAAGCAAACTCAGTCCCAAAGGCAGAAAAATTCTAAGAGCTATAAATTAAGAAAATCATCAACTGGTTTACAGAAAGTCAAGGAATGTGCAAACACTTGTGTGCTTTCCATTCATCCCTATCTGACCCTTGCCTAGCTAATGTCCCCTTCCACAGCAGGGTTGGGAGGAATTAAGGAGGAAAACCATAAGACTTCTCCCATCCACACCATAACATACTCACCAAGGCAAGACTGAGAGTAGCATGCTGGTAACAAACAGTGAGAGATCCCTTTCTCTCCTACATTTACACACAGGCAGCTGATACCATCTGATATTAGCACTGATTTGGATCTGACAGTGAAGCTCTGGGTGGCATCCACAGGACAGCATTGATTGTTTATCCCAAGCAAGTCATGTCAGTGAGAGCATGAGTCAGGCATAATGTGGAGTGGCACATGCCAGCTTTCAGCCTCTTCCTGCTGCATGGCATCCATTTGCTTATGGAGCTGGGTTTAGAATCCCTTTAGTCCCAAGTAATCATTTTCTATAATGATTTTACTAAAGTGACTGAAATAAGCTGCTCTTGCTTCTTATTCCTGTAAGGCTGATTGTCAGTAGCCATGTGTGACCTTGCAACATGCAATCCCTCCTTGGCTCTAAGATGCTGACTCAGTGCCAAGTACAGGATGAGTCAAATGCATTATTGCAGTTGCCTTAACTTCTGTAGCTTTGGAAAGCAGCTATTCCACAGTGCCTTCCACCCCCTCACAGCAGACATCTGCATTTCTTCTATATATAGATCAGAAAAAAAGCCTTAGAAGGAAGAAAGAGCGCTGGCATAGTGAGCAGCTGGAGGAACTCATGCTGGGAAGCTCCCCTTTACATCACTGGCTACTCCCAATCTCTGCAAGGAATCCATGGCTGCACTTCTCTGATGTCAGAGGATTACAGCAGCACTCATTGCACCTCTCTTTTTCCAAGACATTGACACTTGTGGTCAGCAGTGTGGCCTGAGGGGTAGGTACTGCCTTTCACTTGTCTTGCATCAAGGTAACATTTTTATGCATCTTTTTTTTTTTTTTTTTTTTTAATTTTTAAAAATTTTTAACCCTGAGGTTGAAGTACATTAGGCAGCATGATTTCTAGACTCCTTCCCTGGCTCTGGTAATTCTGTAATTGTTACTTGGGGTACACGATGCCCGGCTTATAAAGGGAGGATGTATTTTTTTCACTCACACAAAGCAGGCCTATAAAGCCTAGCTACTATAAAGACTCTAGCATGGGACTTTCCATGAAACAAATTCCCTGTATAGTGGACCAGAATCTCAGATAAGAAACAGCACTGGGCAGAGCAACCTGTAGCTGTGGTTATCTGCATCATTTCATGTAATGTGCCACTCATCATGGTCAGGTGCAGCAGTGAAGTGCGGGAGTCCTCCCACAGAATGCTGTAGTGCTGCAAGACCAAGGGAACTTCTTCCACTTCCACAGCATTCTTCTGGGGGGTCCAAGATTCTTTGTTAACAGAAAAGCAATTACAGTTGTGGAAATCTGGACTATAACTGTGATGTTTCTTATTAGAATCCTTGCAAAAAGAGGTTTAAAGGACTGCTTTACCAGTCTACCTAAGGAAGATTAAAAAGATAACACTTGATAGACAAGGCACTCATTTAAGAATGTTACCAGTAACCCAAACCAGTGAAAACCACATTTGAAGTCTCTGAAAATTAAAATGTCTCTGGTTTACTGCACCAGTTCTCCACACTGCTTTTAAAATTCAAAAATTCTCTGAATTTCCCTTACCAATTTGTGACAGTTTTACTGTTTTCATGATATATTTGTTATTTCTAACCTAAATCTTCAAGACAGCTTTGCTGAGAAAATTCTAGCACACAGAACTACTTCATGAAATTAGAGTGGCCGTCAGGAGCTAACAAATCTACAAAGCTTTAAATAATATATGAAACTCTGTTTCAAACTGCCTTTTACAGTGGAGTGATAAGACAGATCATTTTGGGGATTTAAGCCTCTAAATATTTTTCACAATTTTAGCTTATGGAAAACAAACAAATCTAAAATATGTCATCGGAGGGGTTCTTTGTTCACCAAAAGAAAGTGATTTGCTGTTTGCCAGAACAAGAATTACCTTATCTTCAGATAGTTACTGTGGGAAAAAGATGTCTGAATTAATCAAAGAAATTAATCCAGCAAATTTTATTGGCACAAAATGTCACACTTGTGTGTCACTTTTGTGACATTTCTCTTGACACGCAAGAGTGAAGCCTGGTGTCTCAGTCCTGTGCAGTGTCACACAGAGCTGCAGAGCTCCACCCCAGATGTCACCTAGGAGATGAGTTGCAGGTGGCTGTTCTGTGGAAGGGGATGAGGTGCTGGTGCTCTAGCACAGACCAGGAATGTCTTCTGAGGAAACACACTGCCCACCTCAGGACAAGGGACCTGGTCTATTGCCCACCTGCCTGCTGGTGTAGGTTTTCACAGTAAGTGGTTCAAGGTGATGTTGGGGATAAGAGGCTGGATTGTTTTTGTCATTTTTGTTTTGGGAACTGGAGCACTCTGCAGCAGGATCCAAAGGACTGGAGGCTGGGACAACTGATGGTGAGGGTAAAGCTACCTCAAGCTGCACAGCAAGCCTGTTGCCAAATGTGCTGACAAAGGAGTTTTCAGCTTTCCCTAACAGATGTTTTCCAGGGTGCCAACCCTGAGACAAACCTTTTATCTCCAGGGAACCAGACCTCTAGGTCCGTAGGGCTTTCTCCCTTTGGTCCTATCTCTGCCTGGCCATCTTGTTTGTTAATGTTCACTTGTAGGGGCTGAGAGTCATTAGCTCCCTTTGAACTCGGTATGAATAAAAATAATTTAGCATCACAAGCCTGAGATAATTTTGAGTGAAATCCTGGCATATTTCAGGCAATTAAATGAATGGGTTGTTATTGGGTCTTTTGTCCAATTGATGCATAATTTTACCACCTGAACAGGAACCTTCTCTGTTCTTGCCTCTTTAGGCACATTCCCTGCTCCACTAAAATAGAAGGACTTAGAGGTGGGGTAGAAATTGCTGATCCAGCTAAAAATTTCCTGATGTTTCCTAACAGCAGAGGATGCTTTTTATGTCTTCAAACTCTCCTAGATTTTGAATAAGCAGGCTTGACATTTCCGTCTGGTCTCTTAGCCTCACTTTTGGGCATGGAAATGTCATAATCAAAATAATTCATCTGCTGCAGAAAATGAGAACCAGCATTGAACTGAGCCTCAAAATAGAATAAAATTGGAAAAAGCATGGGGAAGTTACGATACAAAGAAATGGGCTGAAGTATAGGAGCCAGCAAAGAGAGTAAGTAGAAAACTGAGTATGAAAGAAATATGCATGCCCAGATACAGAGCAGAGGGTCTGAACTGAGTGGTAGCATGCTCATAAAGTGAAAATAAATTGTGTTGCCAGTTTTCTACTATATGTCTAGGAGTTATTTCATGCAGTCTTTTATCAGACTCATGCAAGGTGACTTGCAGACACAAAGGGGTAGGCAATAAAGGAGCATTGTCTCATCATCATCTCTTCCTGATTGCATTTGAGGGAATATTAAATAATTGTTTCTTTTGCTAGCAAAACACATCTCTGCTCTAAACATATTCAATTTTTAATTCTGTTTAAGTGGCAATGGCTACTTGCTTTTTGAAAGTAGAAATCATTATAGGTGGTCAAATTATTAATTTTGTTTTAACATAATTTCAGACATCTTGGGGACAACTCTAATATGCAGCCCAGCTACATTAAGATTTGAAAAAGAGGGAACGATCATATGGGAGATTGAAAAATTCTGTTGAAAAAGCACTGAAGAGAGATTGATTTTTTTTTTTTGTGACTGAAAAAACTTATGCTAGTTTTTTAATTGTTTGCCATTTTCTCAAATATTAAGCTCGAAATTTTAATCTGGAAGCTCATACTAGTTTTTGCTCTACAATATATTCTTGACAACTGTCAGTAGCAGTTTTTGGTTTAGTATTTTCTCTTAATCTCTTTCCTCCCCTTTACTACTATATTTTATGTGTGCTCTGTATATTAATATGTTTTTGTACTTGTATGGGCAGAAAAAGTTGAGTCCCTGCCCTCATTACAGAGGAAATTCCTCTTGTTTATGTTTGTCACACTTTACTTACATTGGAGTATTATCATGACTTCACCTTAGCACAAAGTCCTTTCTCTTAGCATGAATCACAGTCTTTTTGGTTTTTTTATCCCTCATGGCATTGAACAAAGTCATTTCACTCAATGTAGGATTTCTGAGAACAAAAATTATCTAAATATTTGCTTTCAAGGAAAACCTTTTTATAAGAATGAAGGTTATCTGAAAGGATATTTGGAAGGATTGCTGTGAGAGCACCTGTAAAAACACCTGTGAAAACAGAGAAATTAAGTGATGATTGTTAACTATGCTGTTAATGTGCGCTCTCATTGTGGGCAGCACACCAAACATATAAAAAAAGAAATTTTTTTCCTTCACCTTTCATTGTTTCTATGTTAGCTAGACATCCTACAAATATAAGTTTGCTTTCCTTGACACCACTGTCAGGACTTCTATTGATATGAGGGTACATTGAAGAGATTAGAAGAAATACAGGGTCATAGAAATTGCCAAAGTAGATTAAATCAGAGGTCTACGTAATTCATTGCCAGCAAAAGTATTAGATAATCCACAATCTTTAGGTAACTTTCTTCCATAGAATTTGATGGCTGAGATATAGACTGTAAAACAAAGTGGATGAGAGCTGTAACCTCTTTCTTTGAAATAACAATCAGAATGTAAACAACCAATATTTTTTGGGAGGATATCTTAATGTACACATTTTTAAACATAAAAGCCTCTTGAAAGAAAATATTACTTTTTTAAACACAAACTCACATATCATGGCTCATGCTATCAAGAGGATGACAGCTCTTTTCATTGACATCTATTGTTAGCTGTGTTTCATATTTTACATGAAAAATTACATTAAAAAAACAGTTTTCAGTTCTTAGTAATTCAGTATTTCTAACAGGAAAAAATATGTGGAAGCCTTTAATAAAGGCTGTTGCTAAATTTAAGGTCCATTACAATTAAAACATCTTGAAACATTTTTCCTTTCATTGTTTTTGCAGATGTTGCTTCTTGCAGCTTCAAGGTGAAGTATGCAGCACAATATTGTGATTTGTTGGAGAGAAGGATAAATTGACCCAGAGGATATGACACAACACACCTGGGACAAAAAAGCTGTTCTTTACGTGTAAAAATTTCACAGAAATTGAATCAGTGCAGTCTGCACCTTGCTTTCCATGTTCACCTCCAGATACAGACAGATTTGTATGAAAAAGAATTAAACATTTTTTTTTGCTCATTCATATTTTTTTCATGCATCACTCTAAGTATCTTTGTAAAGAAGGTAACAAAATCCAATAAAGCTTTGATATTTAAGCCTAAATTCTAACACTTTCTATTTTGATTCAGGAACACAACCTTTCCACACAGTAGAAGCAAATACTCTAATAACAAAAATAGTCACTTTCTATACCCAAATTATTTTCCCTTTGTAGCTAGCTCTACCTTCTCTCAAGTTTGGTTAAGGGTTTCAAAAACTAACAGGAATGCATAAGAGCCTGACAGAAAAATATGGACAGCATATTTAAGTAAATCACCTTGTCTTCAGAAAGGAAGGGATTAAAAAGTAGATTTCATTTATTCTAAGCAGTAGCTCACATAGCCTGTTGTGTCAGTGTCAGCTCTTATTCAGGAGACATATTCACATACAGGACAGCTTTTTACTGAATAAGTGTACCTCCCAAATTTCACATGCCAAATAAACTGAAAAATGCCTTACAAGTTTTTGACTTTGGTGGACCCCTGAGAAAGAGGTGTTTCTCATCTGCTGGCAAGGCATATTTGTCACATTTCAGGCAAGAGTATCTGGCCATCTTTTAGTTATCTATTTGCTTGCCAGAAAGAACAGATGATGTTAATCAAAGCAATGATGGAAGAGAGCATCCAAAAAGTCCACATGGCTTTTGACTAAAGTGTGTTAGATAGTGTTTTAACTTCAAGGGTTTGGTTGTTGTCACAGATCCCCACAGGGATGCCCCTAATACAGCTGTGCTTTTTCACCAAGTATTGTACATGGTACACTAACTCTCTTGCTTGTTTTTTTTCACATACTTTTTCCTATTTTTGTTCAAATAGTTACCAGAAACAATTTTGCACAACACCCAAAATGTGCTACCCTGTCCAGAATGTGTCAAATGCCTTGCTCAGACAAGCTTTGCTGGCAGTACTAATAGGGTCTCAGAGGCACTAAAATTTTCATGGTGAGTGCAGCAAACAGAGTCCAGCTTCACTGCAGAGTGGGACTATGGCCACTTGGAAGGATTGGCATAAGGCTAGCTGGAGTGACTGAAGGGTATCACCCCTGAATGCCCACAATTGCCACTGAAAGAAATTAACACTGGTTTAATCCTAAATTAATAATGTGAAGGATATCACCTGCCTGGGGTGAGCAAACAGGTGAGGATGTGTCAGAGAAAGGAAACTTTCAGGGTTTGGAATTCACACAGAAACCCATCACAAGCAGGTGGGAGGAGAGAGCACCCTAAAACTACAGCTCAACTACTACATTAAAATTCCAGTTCGTTCTGAAGAAGAGGTTTAATAAACAATCAGTCTCTCTGAGGAGTCTTTATTCTGATTTGTCATTACACACAGACAAAACTGGCTTAGAAACTGTGTTTCTAATTGTGGTGTTGAAGAGTGATACTGTTGGTTTAAAAAAATTCTGGAACTGTTGGAAACAAAAGTTTCACTTTAGTCCAAAAAACTCCCTGATTAAGAAGAGTTGCAGAAAGAATTTTTAACCAAGCTAGTCTAGTGGAAGCTGTACATGCAGGGATGTTGGAAACAAGTGGTCTTTAAAGTCCCTTCCAAACCATTCTATGATTCTATGTATTTCATGGTACCAAATGACAGAAAAATGAGATTGCAGAAAAAATTCGGTGGTTAAAAAGGCAAACTAATATGTTTGCATTATGCATGTAGTTTACACTAAAGCATAGTCATGAAAATCAGCTCTTGCTCAACAAAGAAATGGATGCAAACAGCTGTGTGCCAAATGTTGGTATTATCTTAGTGCTCAGGGAAGTTGAAATAGCAAAGAAATGGTAGGAAAGAAGGGATAATAACAGAGGAAACTGTGCCACTGTGTGTATTCCTGGTGTACCCAAATTTTAATTCTGCAAATAGTTCTTGTTGTGTCACTTCAAATGAGACCAAGTATAAACAAGTTTTTCAAATAAGCTGGGCAATGCCCTTCCTGTGGGAGGTAATTGCATAAACTGGAACTCTTCAGGTTGAAGAAAGACTATTGGTAGAAGGAAAATATTATTTAAGTCTATAAAATTGTGAGTTGCACGTAGATGCTGAGCATGACACTGATTATTCATTATTTTTCAGGATGTAAGAACTAGGAAGAACAAAATGAGTTTATTATTAGGCGGTTTAAAATAAACAAAAGGAAGTACTTTTTCAAGTAAGGCATAATTCACTTGTGGAACCCTTTGCGAATGTCAAAAGTATAAGTGTATTCAAAGGCAGATTGAAGACTTTCAATGAAAAATCCATCAAAAGCTATTAAACACAGTGAAGTGATTATAACATACAACATACAGCTCACAAAATCTCTGAAATGCAAATTAATGGGAGTAGCAAGGGTACAAGTTAAAGTATCCTTCTGTATTTGCCCTGTTTCCATCACTTCTTCCATAAGCACACTTTATTTATTTTTGGCAGAAATGGGATGCTGAAGTAAATGCACTTTTGAGCTGATCCTGCACAGCTGTTCTGTGTGTAGTATATAACTCAGATTTCACTTAAGCCAACAGGGTAATTTCAGTGATTTTAATGGGAGCTGAATTAGGCCATTTGGGAGAATGAGCCTCCCAATCCCATGTTTTACTAAGGGTATGAAAACTAAACTTTTTAGATTGGTAAATGCCAAAGGACGCAACAGTTGCCCAAACCATTGAGCATGTGGAATTCAGCTGCAAAGAGAGACCACTGTAGGGATTTATTTTAAAACTGTATGCAAAATCTGTAAGTTCATGATTGATCTTTCCTTGAATTTAAGTGACTGGTCAGCTGACTGCTTTTGCTCTCTTGAGTGGTAGCCGGTCTGTTTGCATGACTGTTCATCCGAGCTTGTAAAATGCAATTCAAGGCCAGCCTATAGTTTTATGGAATTATGATGATAATAGATATGGCCAGACTACAAACACGTCACCTCCCTTTTCCCAAATTATTTGCTTTCCTGAGACACTCATTAGTAAGTGCACAATTAGATCAATATTATTTGGTTTTCTTTACTTTTAGAGAAAGAACTGTTTTAGAACATAAGTCACGTATCTGCAGACAGAATGTGCCCTTAACAAAGAAAGAAAATAAAACCAGGCCAGAATATTTTAAGAATGCAACCCACAAAGCGATTGCTTCAGTCATACTACCATAAATTTGTTACTTAAGACAAATTAAATACCAGTGATGTATTAGCATATATAAACTTATAACTGTCTGATAAAAATATTTATTATTTGAAAGAACAATATTTGAAATTTCCAGGAAGTATTGCTTTGCATATGTAAGCATGTTCTCAAGACACCTCTCATCCAAGGGCTGTAATATTGCACTTCATGAGATCCATTGTATTCTATGTGGGGAGAAGGAAAAAATTCCTTCCACTGCAGTGCCCTAAAATGTGAAAAGCAATGCAGGTACTTAGCATAGGCATTTAACACTGGTTTGGATGCACTATAGTAATTCAAGATTACATGAATGATGCTAATAGCTTTGACACAGGAATGATAGAGGACTCCTACCTTAGAGAGCTGTAATACTCTGGGGCACCACAAAATGCACTAAGGACACATATTTAGGTATTTGATTACTTCACTAGGTTTCAAGTGTAAGCTGTAAGGAGAGTAACAGGTATGTTCCAAAGGCAGTTCATCTCAGCCTGTGACATAATTTTCACACAGGTCACACCTGCCACTTGTGGAAGGTTGCCTTTCCCTGTAGAGAGAAGATTTTAATGGGTAACAGCTAATTCAGGCTTGACTCCCAGTTCTTCTTCAACAAGTTCCAAAAGAGGTCAGTCCTGCAAGGGGACCATTACACTATTACAAAGCAAATACTATTGATGTAATGAGGTTTTGTTCCCGGAACTCACAATAAGGTCTAAGGATTTAATGTGAAATGTTTCTCTTTTTTGATGTGGGAATGGAGTAAGGGGACTGAAGTGACTTAACCCAGCCTCCTTGATAGGTTATCAGCAGAACTGGCAATGCAGTCTTTGCTTAAGAGCAGCTAAATAGAGTGTATAAAAGCTACTTTATTCTAATAGTGACTGGTTAGTAACCTAGCTCAAAACAGAGATGGAGCTAATTAGATTTGTTTCATGTTTCAATAGTCAAATATTAACTATAACAGATTTAGGTGAATGAATTAAGATTCACAAAGATGTTTATTATAGACAAATTCAGGAAACTGAATGGGAAATAAGAGCAGTAGCTTTTGCCTTTATTGTCTAGACTTACTGGGGAGGTGTCAATACAAGCCACCTCAACCACATAGCACAATGAAGAGAGAAAATTCACTACTGTCAGAATGATTTTATTATCTTTACTGCAGTCTTCCACCACTCAGTAGAATATCTTTATAAAGAGGTATGGAAGAATTTCTACACGGTTCTTTTGTGGTTTTTTTTTTTTTTTTTTTTTTTTGTTGATTTTTTAAAAATACATCCTATTATAATGAGTGACATAAGTAGGAATGAGAAGAGTATTTCTACATTTTTCTGAGTAAGAAAAATATATTACTCAGTTTTACATTGATTAATGGTGTCTTTGTTTTGAACTTTTGTATTTTAGTATATAGTAAGAAAGATGCTTTAAAAAAATCTTCTTTTTTAGAAGAAAAGAAAGAGAAGGATGTGTTGGAAAATGTAATTTTTTAAACAGTGGATGCACATACAAACCCATACCATGTCTGTAACAGAAAAAAAAATATTTACTATGCATAGAAATTTCAATATGAATATGCATGGAGGTGATATGTACATGACAAAAGTGTTAATACTTCCATCTGAAGTTCCAAGAGGTGTCAATATGATATCTAAATGCAGTATGTGTCACATTTTTACTAATTTGGCTTTCACTAAATGTATTCTTTGGATAGATTCATGCATTGCTCAAAAAAGGTCAGTATAATCTAATTTCTCATATGTCTATGTATATTTTTATTTACCTGTACTCAGATGTGCAAACTTACATATCATCAAAGAAAATTATGTAGCAAAATTAAAACTCATGAAAAGGAAAACACGTGGGTTTTATTTCCCTATTCCCTTTTCTCTTCAGAAAAAAAAATCCCATCTATAAAC